GCACTTGGGGGGCTCACGCCTGGTGCCTGCCCATGGCGGGGGGAGATGGGGGTCAGAGGGGCTGGGAGCATGTGAGGGTGGCTGGGGTTTTGCAGGGGGATCCCACTGCAGGTCTCAGGGATGGGCCCCCGATGGCTGCGGGGCGGTGGGCAGGGCAAGGGGAAGCTCAGGTAGAGCTGTCCCCCTCTGGGGACGCCCCTAGGGGCTGGGACCCTTTGTCATTGCCTTACCTGTGAAGAGACAACTGCTCTCGCTGATGGGGACCTTCCTCACCAGCAGGTACGCGGCACTGGGCTCCGGGAGCTTGCACCACTGCAAAGCTTGCTCCAGCACCTTCTCCTTGGGGTGCAGGGGCCGCTCTGGGGAGGCAGGGACACTCTCACCGCTGCGTCCCCTTCCCTGTGCCAGTCCTTGTCCCTCCTGCCGCGGGCAGCCAGCCGCTCCCCTGTGCCCCACACCTCCTACTCGCCAGCCTGGCCACGCTGAGCGCAGCCCCCCGTGCTGTGCCCCCATGCTCACCCAGCTCCCCATTCTCCAGGGCCTCGAAGGTCAGCCAGATGTCCAGGCTGGCCGCCACATTGCGCATCTCCAGCACCTGGTTGGTGAGCTCCTCTGCCGTCATCGTGGGGGACACCTGGGGCCAGACACATGGGGAGCTGCGGTGGGTGGTGGCAGGATGGGTCCCAGGGACGGGCTGTGCCAGGAGCCTGCCTCCCTCCTCCCTCCCTCTGGCACGGCCATCCTTTGGGACTCACCTTCAGGGTGACGCAGCAGTCGGGCAGCTTCTGCTCCAGGTAAACCTCGATGATGAGGTCCCCTGCCTGCGAGAGCTGGGGGAAGAGTGAGTGGCATTGGTGCCGTGCTGGCACGGGTGCTGTGCACATCCCCTCTCCCCAGGGGCTGGTGATGGTGTCCCAGGGAGCTGGGGCTGCTTCTCCTCTGGGCAGGAGCCTCAAGATGATGGGCGAAGGAGAGTCAAGTGGGGGAAGGTCCTTCCCCAAATATCTGGTGTGGGACAGTGGGGACCCAGGGTAGGCAGCTGGGAGTGGCCCATCCTCCAGACAGTCCCACCAGCCTGGGGGTCCCTGATGTGATGGGGGCCAGCAAGCATGTCCCTAGTACCTGGGTGTCCTTCCAGGTGGTGATCAGACTGTTCTCCAGATCCATCTGGGATACCTGGTCCTCGTCAATCTGCCGGAGGAAGGGCGCCCAGAGTGAGAGGGGAGGCACATGGAGTCAATGTGGAGTGGGACATGGCTCAAGGACACACGGTCAGGCCAGAGGGATGCAGGGGGAGGCAGAGGTGGGCGGTACGGGGGGATACAAGGGGGCACGGAGGGGGCCGGCAGCACCCCTGCAGGGAGCTTACGTTGAAGATGCTGACGTAGTTGTCAATGAGGTCTTCCATCACCTTGACCTCGTGCTCCCCTTTGCCATCGGTCTGGAAGAGGCTGGGTGCGAAGAGCAGCGACAGGTTCTTGGTGCTCATCTGGTTGAGGTCTGCACATTTCTGCACCCTGGGACAAGGAGGACAGAGATGAGGGGCTGGTCCCACTCTGGATGGGGTTTCAGCCCCAGCCCCCCTCCTCTGCCTCATCCAAACTCTCCTGAAAACCAGCCTGGTTTTCCCCTGCTCTCCAGCAGCAGAAACTTCAAGCCAGGTCCAGGACTTCCAGCTGCCGTCAAACCAGACAGCAGCCCCACCTCACACTCTGAGTTGGGGATGGGAATTTGGTTTTTTCCCTCTTTTTTGGGCACTGGGTGGAGTTACATCCTACAGGAGGTATGTGTGTGTCCCCTACTCTCAAACCTCTTGTCACTCCCCCTTGCTGCAGGATGACTTCGGGAATGTTTGGGGTGTCCCAGAGCAGCGTGCTCCAGTACACTCCAGCACCAGCTGGGGGGGCTGGTGGGGCAAGGGCATGGGCACTGGGCTCTTCCTGGCTCGAGGAGACCCCACGCTGCTGGCTGGCCTTGGGGACCCCGGCTGGACCGGGGGACTTGGCGGGGAGGTGGCCCACGGACCGGTAGAGGTGCCCGATCAGGGCAGCCAGGGTCTTGTGGTTGAGGCGAGGCAGGCGATGAATGAGCTCCTTGTACCGCTCCAGGCGCTGAGGCTTCGAGGAGATTTCTGGAGGGAGGTAAATGAGTCATGGACCATTGCTGAGTCCGCTGGGCACAGAGCTGACATGGCGCCAGGGGTGTTACTGGGACCCTGTCCTGAGGGACGCCAGCCCCCCAGTAGCCCAGCGAGGGAGCAGGCGTTGGGTGAAGGAGGTACCTGCAGCCTCCTTCCACTGTGGGTGCAGCTCCAAGGTGAAGACGGGGTCCTCGAGCTCACGGAAGAACCTCTTCAGCACGTCGGTGACGTCCTCGATAAAGTTGTCATTGATGCGCAGCTTGACGTTGCGGGCATCCCGCCGGAACTCCTCCATCAGTACCTTGATCCGGGACTTGGCTCCGTTCTTGCGGTAAATGCCCTCGTGCCGCAGCCCTGGCGCGGGGACATGGGATCACATGAGGGCCCAATCCTGGCCAGAGAGTCCCCAGCAGGGCTGGTGCCCCAAGAGTGATGCCTCTTGCCCCGTGTACCCTCGGCTGCCCCGTGTGTGCCAGAGGATGCTGCGGCTGTGCCACGGCCGCGCTGGGCTCACCGTACTGCGTGATGAAGGCGATGCAGCTGTCCACGATGATGGGGATGTCCCCCCGGCTCAGCTGCTGGTCCCGCAGCGCGTTGCCCCGGCCCCCCGCCGATGCCTGGATGTCGGCGTACCACGCTGCTGAGTCTGCCCGTGACAAGCCCTGCAGGTAAAACGTCCTGAGAACGACAAGGGCAAGAGAAGAGGGAATGAAGGTTGCCACGGGGGGCAGGTTATCCCCTCCTGCCTGGGCACACAGCCTGGCTCTGAGACGGGGAGCTGAGCCAGATGTCCTAGCCCAGTCAGAGACCCCGGGCTGGGGTGACCTCTGTAAGCCCCTTGGCCACAGCCCTGCTGTCCCAGTATCATCCCCACTGTGGGTTTGGGATCAGCATTGACCCACACATGAGTGCCTTTGCCCCGAGGCAGCCTGCTGAGGTTGCTTGGCTCATTCCCCATCATTCCTGTGGCCAGGACTCACCTCCCCATCTCCACCAGGACCAGCAGTTCCTTCTTCTCCGGGGTCTCTGTGGGGGGAACCAGACCTGCATTGGGGTAAGAAGTAGAGGGGTCAGAGCCATCCATGGCCACCCGCCGCATGGTGCCCGTCCTGGGCGGCGGCACGGCACTCACTGAGCTCCTGCAGCCGCCGGAGGTTGATGCTGTCCTCAGCCCCGTCATCCTCGGCGGGGCAGATGAAGAGGTGGGCTTTCTGCAGGATGAAGAAGGCCTGCTGCCACCGCTCGGGGTTGAGCATGCACTTGTAGCGCAGCTGGCCCACGCGCTGGAACTCGTAGCCCAGCAGGCAGTGACAGCTCACAGGCGTGAACCACTGCAGGACAGAGCAAGAGAGGAGCCGGGTTAAGGCAGGGCTCGGCCCCCGAGCGCAGACCCCCACGAGGATGGGGGCAGGTCGCCGGGGAGGACGGGAGCCCCTGCAATCCCCTCGTGCTTGCCATGGAGGATGAAGAGCATTGAGTGCTGGGAGGAATCAGAACAGGGGAGCAGGGACAGAGCCCAGGGACCCACCAGTGGCACGGGGTGCCGGGGCTGGGGCTGGCTCACCTTGCCGATGGCGCTGG